TAACTTCTAGGCTCATCCCGTAATTTTGGGTCTTCATACATAAATATAGCGGAATTAACGCGGAATCCGTCTATACCAAAATCCAGCCAAAATTTCAAGACATTCTACAACAAATCACAAAAATGATTGAAAAACATAAAACCTAATATTGCAATGAAATTTATTAATTTTTTAAATCTTTTTGTATATATTTCTACATATAAAACTTGCATAAATTTACATTTCCAGTTTATTTATAGATAAAAATTTATTGTATTTTTTGTGCAATATGTGTCTTAAATTTAATAGATTAGATTTTATATATAGTTTAAATTAAATAATAAACTTAACAATATAATACAGAAGATAAAATTAAAACAATAAATACCTTAAATAATAAATTGTGTATTTTTTTTAAATTTTATTTGCATATTATATAAAATAAAAAAAAAATAGATCACACGTAAAAGATTAAAGATTAAGCATTTTATATTAGTAAAAATGATAATACATTTCTTTAATATATTTATATTTATATTTAGTAAAGTCAATAAGATTTGTTGTAATGATTTATTAAAACTATAAATTATTTACTATTTTTTTGAAATAAAACTAAATGTATGGAATTCTAGATAGCACACAGAGTTAAAAAAATTCATTCGTATATTCAGTCGTATATCATCAATTCTGACAATGAGTTCATTTTCAGGTGCAAAAAGGATTCTTTTTCAGAATTTTCAAAAAAAGATTTCTTTTTGAATGTGAAAATAAATTGATAACATATGCATGATTTCTTTTTTAACTTTCTGTGCTATCTGGGATCAGGTGTTAATCTTAATTTGTGGAAATTTTTCAAGTGCAACATATGTAATATTTTAGAAAAGGCTAAAACTTTTTCTACTACTTACTATCATCTCCTTTCTTACTTGAGGATTACGGTAATTTAAGTCAGGCTGTCTATATTCAAATTGATGAAAATACCATTGATTTAATGATTTGACATAATGCCATGCGGAATCACTAAACACGCTGAGCCAATTGTTGGGCGGCGTTTGGCCGTCTTTATTTTTGCCGTCTGCCCATATATAATAGTCCTTGTACTTTTTGTTACCTTGAAGAGCCTTTTGGAACCATATATGTTTATCAGACGTATGGTTCGGCACAAGATCAAGAACCACCTATAAGAATGACATGGAATAACTTTGGAGTAGCAATGAAAAATAAAAAAAAATGTTTTATAACGTAACATAAACGGAGATAATAAGTTTTATTGGCATATTTAATCAAGACATAATTATAATAAAAGAAATTTGTTTATGAACAATATATTGCAAATCGTCGCACTTTTAGACCGAGTTCTTTAGCGCGTCTTAGAAGATTTTTGAAGTCTTTCAATGTGCCAAAAGACGGATCGACGTCAACGAAATTGGATATGTCGTATCCAAAATCGACCATGGGACTTGGATATATAGGCGATAACCAGATCGCATTGATGCCAGTTTCCACGAAATAATCCAACTTTGAAGTTATCCCTGACAATACAGAAAAACATAGCTCTATAAATATCGCCGATGTTGCTTAGCTACAAATGCCTTCAAATTAGGCAGATAACAAAACAGATTAATTGCACAAAACTATAATGTAACAACTAAATAAATGGAATTTGTAGGTTGT